ACAATCTGATTTGGGGGAAATGTCTTAGCTTGGAAATTTCAAAATGTTAATGTCTTGCTAATGTCTATGCTGGTTTTCAATATATTAATATATTGAATTAATATTATTCATTAGTAGTATGCTAGTTTTCAGCATATTAATATAGCTTTCTTTTCTGAACGCACTCTCTCTCTTTCTCTCTCTGGCCATAAGAGTAACCAGTATTATCACAAAGGCTCTGTGCTATTAATATTTATTGAGATCTTACCACTTGTAAGCTCTTTACATGTATTATTTAATCCCTGCAACATCCTCGTTTTATAGCTGAGAAAACACATAGAGGTGAAGTAACCTGTCCAATGTCAAATAGCAAGGAATTGGCGAGCTGACAGTCACACCAGGCGGTCCGATCCAGATGCTTATTAGAAATCAGTCCTGTAATAAAAAAATAATAATTTTTAAAATAAAAATAAATAAAAGTAAAAAAAAAAATTAATTAATCAATCAGCCCCGTGGCATTGGAAAATTCCCTTCCACACTCTTAGGTCCTCTTTTTCCTCATCTGGGAAATGAGGGGATTGGACCAGATGTTGTGTAAGATTTTCTTCCAGCTTGAACGTGCCCATTTTCTTGTCCTTGCGTGCAAATGATATTTAACCATGCGCTTCGCAGATGGGTATCCACCAACGCTCCCCGCTTGAATTATGGGCGCCATTAATGCTGTAGGACTGGAAAGGAAAGTTGATCTCAGCTGAAACTGACAGTGCCCCTGAGCTATTTATCATTCTTTTGTCCTGCCCCAAACAGACTTTACGCTTCAACTGCACTCACCCCCTAACTACCTAAATATCTCAACTCTCTACAAAGTCTCTCCAGACTCTGAAATAACTCAATAAAAGAGCAACAGACGTAATGATTCAAGACTGAGGAGGAGAAAAGCGTTCACATTGATATTCTTAATACAATTCCCTCTTTCTTCCCCTGGATTCGCAGAATTTCTTCTCACTTATGAATTTTCTAATAAGCCTGGATAGTGGTGTGCTGCTAATGTTTAACAACCAGCTCTCCAAGAAAACAAAAAAGCCCTGATTGGTAGCATCTGCTGATTTCCGTGGTTTCAATATTCCCACCATGGCTGGTTTCCCACTAATGCCAAGTCACTGAACACAATTTTGGAAAGAAATATGAGCCAGTAGGAGCTGGTATCGGCACACCACCGAGTATGGGTCATAGTACCACTCATCTGTAAGCCCTGCAGCCTAAAGTATTCTTCACACATTTGTTCATTCATCCAGTCAACAAACTTTTTTTTTATTATTATACTAGGAACACGAGCAAGGTATCTATTAAATTGGTTCCTTATTGCAAATCCATTGTCTTATTGGGTTTATTACAAAATAATATTATTTTTCCAACACTTCCCCCTAAGAAGTTTCTTGAGACAAGGCAGGTGGAATGACAGCTTTTCTACCTTCAAAAATTCACTTACCCAAACCACATGAGATGATTTGCTTCTCTTGAGTTAGTAATTCTCATTAACATTCTAAGCATTGGGGAAAATTACATCACAATAGCCTTGACAATAAAACCCCAAACTGCTTTATTATAGAAAGTTTACAAAATGCAAAAGCAAACAACTCACCTCTCAAAAATGCTTACCCAGACATAATCCTTCTATAATACTTTTTCTCTACATTGGTATATTCAAGATATGTGTGGCTTGTGAAGAATATGGACTCAGGAGCTTCGTTGCCTGGATTCAAATCACAGGCAATGTGATTCAATTCAATTCAAATCACAGTTCCATCACTTATTAGCTCTGTGATCTTGAGCAAATCAATTAACCTCTCTGTAAAATGGGGTTCATGATCATAATAGTAGCTATTGTGAGAATTGAGTAAATGTACATACAACACCCAGAACAACATATAGGAAGTTCCCCATAACTGTTAGCAGTTATTACTAGCAAACACAATCGAGGATTTTCTCAATGTTGCATAAACCATGTCTTTCTAACAAGATGGTGCACTCCTCAAAGTCTTTTTTGCGGTCCCCTAGAGTACCTAGCACATAGTGTAACTTGAATCAATTCTTGTCAAACAAGCAATTAAAGAAATTAATTGATTAAATGTAATTGGATTGCTGAGACTCCAAAACATTCTTGCCACAAATCAGCCATTGGGTCTCTCATCTAGATCTCAGGCACATTTTCTGTCTCCATGAGCCTCTCTGAAGGTAGGGAAAGTAACCAAGAATAAGTACCTGGAGTAATTTGTCAGAGCTGTTAACATGTATTTATGTTCAAGAATGTTTATTATTTATAAGCAAGGAAAAATGAAAGCAACCTAAATGTTCAACAAGGGAAAGGTTGAATAAACTATGATGTAGCCATTAGATATTTGTTTTCAGTAAGTATTTATTAACATGAAAAAAATGCCCTAATTGTAGTAAGTGGGAAAAGTATCATATAAACTTGTATAAACAATGTTATCCCAATGTTTATTTTTTCAATGTGTTTGCATTAAGGAAAAAATAAAAAGACACTTACTGGAAATATACCAAAATCATCACAGTAGCTATCTCTGATTGATAGGATTAGGGTGACTTTTATTTCCTCTTGGTATATTTCTGAATTTTTTCTAAATAACAAAAAGAAAACATAAAATAGATTTGGACTCTCAACCTTGGAATTGGTGTCTCAGGGACAAAATGATGCGTCCCTACATGCACATAGATTCAGTGACCTAAGCACCTCTGTGAGAGAGTTCTGCTACCACCTACATCCCCACCCAGTCTGGCATTTGCCACTACCCATCCCCACCCCACTCCCAACCTCCCAAAGTGTCCCGAATCTGACATGGAAGCATAACCTAGGTTTTGCAAATGTGACTCCAACATCCAGCCATTTGGAAGCACCGATGATTACCTTAATTTTTCACACGCCTTTCACATATCTGGCATTGGGTAAATACAATCAACCTCACGTAGACATATTTCCAGCTATTAAAAACCGAACGCATTTGTGTTATCTCTTGCCCTTGAGGTGCCTGATATAAGGGAAGCACGACTGAGTACCTTACTGATAAGGCTGAACAAATACGTCTTCGGAATAGGCTATAGGAAAAACCCAGGTTGGAGATGTGCCATACACGTCAAAATCTAGCTAAATTTGGGGAGAAGGTGGATCTCAATTTAGTGAACTGTGAGTTCTAGAATGTTTGTTTAATAAAAACCATTTTATTACTTTCAAATCCAAATGGGCTTGAAGCACAATTTTATGAGTCTAAATCGAGGTAGCAAGTACATAATTGGCTCCTGCTTTTAGAAACAGGTAAGAATTATTTATAATGAGCATATCAGTCAAGTATGATTTAGTCCCTCTGATGTGTTTAAAACAACTTATTCAAAATCATAGAAAAAGCAACTTATTCCCTTAAGTAGTGTGATGTTTAGCAATTTTATTTTTATTCTTAATTTGCTTACAACCACCTCTCCTCAAGGCAATCTCAAGCCAAAGCCTATCTAAAGCATCATAAATTTCAAACTGCTGAGCTAAATCAATAAGGTTTTATGGTACATCTTTAAAAGAAAAAAAAAAAGAAGACGAAGAAGACGATGAAGAGGCATAACTTAACTAAATGTAGCTAGGGAAATGCACACAAGTTATTTTTGCCGTAGCTCCTTTGCTACGGATGGAGGAACCAAGCAGTTCTATTTTCATTCATGAGGAAAATCTCACAACAGAGGGCACATCGTGGGACACAGTCAGCCCAACAAGAATGAGCAAGAGAGAGCAGCTTTAGCTGCTCCTGAAATACTTTAGGGGCAGAAGTTGCTAATCCCAAGGAACATTCTATGGTGAATGTTATCTCTGCTTGAGTCTCGTTAATTTTATGGAAAAAATATTATTGACATAAGATTTGTTAAGCACCCCTCCACCTTCTCTGCCTTGTTTTTCTCCACTGTGTGTGTCACTAACATGTTCCATAGCTTAGTTTTTTAATTATTTTTATTGTTTTTCTCCCTCAGAATGCAAGCTTCGTAAAGGCACGAATTTTTCTTTGGGGTTTTCTTTTTCCTTTTTTTGGTTGCATTTAGAACGTACCAGCACAGGGACGCCTGGCGGGCTCAGTAGAAGAGCGGACGACTCTTGATCTTGGGGTTGTGGGTTTGAGCCCCACGTTGGGTGTAGAGATTACTAAAAAAATAAACATTTTTTCTTTTGTTTTTGTTTTTTTTTTCTTTTAAAGATAGTAGGAAGGGTAAAAGGAAAGCAGGGAAATCGGAGGGGGAGACGGACCATGAGAGACTACGGACACTAGAAACAAACGGAGGGTTCTAGAGGGGAGGGGGTGGGGGGATGGGTAAGCCCTGGCGATGGGTATTAAAGAGGGCACGTATTGAATGGAGCACTGTGTGTTACACGTGAACAATGAATCATTGAACACTACATCAAAAAATAATGATGTAGTGTATGGTGATTAAGATAACAAAAAAAATTTTTAAAAAAACTAATGATGTAATGTATGGTGATGAATATAACATAATAAAATTTAAAAAAAAAAGAAAAGAAACTTAAAAAAAAAAGAATGGGCCGGCACATTGGAGGTGCCTCAAAAGTATTTGTTGAATGAACCCAGCTCCTCTTAATCAAGGAGGATATTCCTGAGATAATCTCTGGTAAGGTAGAAAGAGCTCTGGATTTGGAGTCCAAAGCAAGTAGCACTTTGCTTGGCTCAAAACAGACACTCAGGGGACATTTTTTGGGTGGAGATGGGTGTATGGATGTTATATTGGTAACTCTCCTTATCTGTGAAATGGGAATAATACTTCATTGTGAGAACTGTTGTGACATCTTAGTTACTTGATAACTCTTTTCTCCCAGTTGATGTAGACGGAACAGGAATAAGGCAGTAAGAATCCTTACAGTAGAAGACAAAGCAAGAAATCATTTAATCACTGTGTAAATGAGAGGAGACAGGAATTTGGGTAGAAGTGTATGTTTTTATTCTGTCTTGTAGTGCTGCCAAGTCAAGACGGTGTTTGAGCAGAGAGGCAAGCCAGACGCAGCCAAGTGGAGCAGGTGAGCAGGCCGCCAGCTTCCAATGAGACATAAGTGAAAAACAGCCTTCAGTTTCACTTCAGTGGCCTCCTTGAACTGAGAGGCATCCGACTGTCAGGCAAGGTGATGAAAACCCTCGGTAGACACTCCAGATCTTAGTTCTGGTCATTAAGTCTCAAGGGTAATCCAGCCCCAGCTTTCTTATTCCTAAATTTGTTCTTTTTGCTCGAAGAGATAAAGCCTTCCGCTCTCTCATTCCTCGTGAAACATTCATTTTTGCCCCATGGGTGGCTTGCTCGGTGAAAGCAGAGGTCTTCCGAGCGCAGCCCCCTCTGCTTTGGTGGACAGATGCGGAGAAGGACGCTGTGTCCTGGGAAAACAGCTCCGGTGGAGGTAGAGAAGAAAACCACAGGCCAACAGTGGGATGAGATCTGCACCCTCCCCCCAGTCGTCGCAGGCAGCTTTGGGAAGACCTTCCAGAGCCCGGGGGACACCGTTCCTCCTGAAGAAATCTCAAATGCCCACTGGTAGCAAACTGGAGTAACCCTGGCACAGAAAATTTTCTCCCTGCTGTTGCTGCCTTGGGTTCGGGAGTCCCACCATGTCCCAGAGCGATTCCTCACGTGGTGCTGTGCTCAAGGAAATCACCTTGTCTTAGGACCTCAGCCCTTCATGTGTTTAGCGGGTCAAGAGGCAAATTCTCTTCCTACCAGTAAGAGGCCCCAGGCTCCCGTGGGCCCCAGCCATTGTTATTTTGAGAGTGAATTGCATAAATCTCTGTTGCTGCGAGGGCTATAGGAGTCTAGATGGAAGGAAACTGTTGAAACCAAACCCCAGAACCAGGAGTCAGGAAAAACCCCAAACATGCCTTTCTCCCAGAGCTCGGCTAACCCCAGCTCTCCTTTGTTAGGAAGTGATGTTCCTCCCTCTGTCTACAGGAACGGTTAAGGCTGCACAGATGTCCCAAGACCTGGTCTGGAGGCCTTCATGGGATGGATGGTCCAAAAAATAGTACAGACAGACGTGGCCTGGGAATGGAGCATTCCAGAAGCTGTGCTATTTATCAGTGTTTTTCAACCAGCCCGGCCTTGTTACTTGCCCTATGAGAGGTCTGGGAGAAAGTCATATGGAAAGTGTAAAGAAATAGAAGATCCTCCCCTCAAGGTCCTTTCCGTCCAGGCAGGGAGACAGCCCGTGTACACATCCATTGAGGCACACAGGCCGGGACAGGTGTCGATAAATCTCTCAGGCCACGAGGATGAGGAGTGTTCAGGGCTGGATGAGTTTCTTTCTTTCTTTCTTTTTTTTTTTTTTTAAAGATTTTATTTATTCATTTGAGACACAGAGATACAGAGAGAGAGAGCATGAGCTGGGAGAGAGGCAGAGAGAGAAGGAGAAGCAGGCTCCCCGCTGAGCCAGGAGCCCGATGCGGGACTCGATCCCAGGACCCGATCCCAGGACCCTGGGACCATGACCTGAGCCGAAGGCAGATGCTTAACCATCTGAGCCACCCAGGCGCCCATGGATGAGCTTTCTAAGGGCTTGGTTGTCCGAGAAAGCTTGGGGAGGAGGTGGCGGCCACCCAGTGCCTGGTGGGATGGCTCGGAGGGGTGAAGGGAGGAGCGGCAGGGTGGAGGGAGGAGAGTTTGTACACGTATGACATGAGGATGCTTCTTTATGTGTCCTGTCCCGGCTCTGGCTGGGGAGCTCAGCAGGGCAACTGCCTGTCGCCAAGGTGCCCCGTTTCCATCTGGATGACGGCGTGCACCCCACACGGCTGGAGGCCGCTAAGTCATGTCTTCCAAGGCAGCTCTCCCCTTAACCCCATGAGCTAAATTTTTGACCCGATTCTCGAAAAATTATTCTGACCTTTCCAACCCTTCACACAGAGGCTTTGCGATGGAGACAAAAATCATTTGTAGTCCAAGTCTTTCGGGTCCCCAAACCGCCCCCATCACCACTCCTGTTTCTTCCCTGAGTGTCGTAGACTCACATTTTTTTTTTCCTATTTCATCACCACTCCCTTCCCTCCACAAGCACCACGGCCTTCGGGGCTCCCTCCATCTAGATTACTGCGGCCCGGCCCCCAGCCCCCACTGCTCTGTCTGATAACTCCTTTGCTCAAAGTCCTAAAAATGTGCACACTTTTGACCCGTTAACTCCGTTCCTCAAAATGTATCCTTGCCTGACTTTTCTCTCGGCGGAGTTCTTGCGTCTCTGCCGCCCGTGGGCCTCAGGAGTCCTGCATGATGCCGGGGCCCTGCAGCAGCCAACAAGCCGGCAGCTGGGCCCTGCATGGAGCTTACGGTCTAGGAGGTTGTTTGTTTCTCCTATCAATCCAGGTGTTTTATTTACTTATGTATTTTGTCTCTTGGACAAAACAAGCCTGTCGTACTCTCAGAGAGAATATAGGGTCACTGCATCATAGGGTAAAATAAATTCCCCTTGACCATGCCGGGGACACAGAGTGACAGGTGCAGACAGAACGAGAAGGATACTGTTCTAGGTCAGAGGTTTTCAAACAGAGCGCCACACCCTGTGAGCCTCAGGGGTGGGGATGCCCAGCCGACAGGGGAGGCGACAGTTTGCCAGGGCTGCACAGAAGGACTCGTGTATGTCCCCAGCACCCCCACCCACCAAGCAGTTCTGCGTAGTTTTCTCCTTGTTACTCTGGGCTTCCTGGGAAGATTTATTCGAACAGAATGTTCTGTGGCTGCAAAGTTTGAAAACTACCAGTTGTCTCAAGTTGCTATATTTAGTCTGGAAGTCTTCCAGACTGGGGAATTTTTTTTTTTCCAAATTCTCTGAAATCCTCTAGCTTTTATGTTTAATTAATGAGCTTTACTCATGCCTGATACATGTTGGGTGTGTAATTAATGAGCAGTAATACCACGGGCATGGTAAGTAATAAAATTTCATAGACAGTGCAAATGTGCTAGAGATGAAAACCCTAAAATAATTTTGCACACTATGCAATGGTGGGGGAGGGCGCATATCAAAGACACCAACAAAAATGTAAGCAGTTTTAACAATTTGACATGAATTCTGTATGGTGTCATTCGGGATTCTATTTAATATTTGCTAGGTTCCCACAATGTGCTGGGTAATGATCTCTTTTCTCTATTTTTCTTTAGCACCTTGCACCTACAGATTTTACAACTAAACTGTCATTATTCACATACCACCACTGTGGGTTTTTTTTACAATATCTGCAGGCCACTTGTACTAGTAGATATTTTATTTAAATAGATTCATTTTGTATTTAAATTTATTTTTAAAGAAAACTTCCTATCAGTACCCATAAATAGAAGACCAGAAACACCTACCAAAAATAGAAGGTAACTGTAATAATAAATTCATGATGATGAAAATAATCAACTGTTTCTTTAAAATATAAAGTGTATATAAGCTATAAACCATAAAGTATACCTTGTCTTTGCTTCCCTCACCTCACCTTATACCTTCTTGTACCTGCACATCCACATCCCCCACTCCCTCTAAGTACTAGCCTTGCTTTAAGCTAGTTGACAACTAAGAGTTGATGAGGTATGACTCTCCTATTTTTTATATTGATAAGAGACTATTAATTTTTCAAAACTCAAATATCAGAACTTCATTGGAATTTTAGACATAATGCAAGAGGATTGTACCATTTAATTTAAATCGCATACATTAGGTGATCTACTAATCACCTACTCATAAACCAGGCCTCAGGCCTCCCCACAGATTTATATTGAGATTGCCCCAAAACATGGAAATTTGCCTACGAATATATCAAAGCCTTTAGGATTTGACAGATATGGTCTTTTCAGATGGTGATGACCCTCTAGCAAAAGAAATATGGATCAATCACCTCATTACCACATACTTTATTCTAATTGTACCTATAACAATATTCCCCCCACCCACCTACCCACCTAGGAAAGAGGGAGGGGAAGTTAGCCACAGGGTCTGAGTATTGAATTTACATCACTGATGACTTGTCATTGCATTTTCTCCCTCTCGCATTGCAGAACTCCTCCTCCCAGGAGACCTTGGGAGAGTTGTCACAGATCAGGTTCTGTGGGAAGCAGGCTCTGAGATGAGACTGTACGCAGGAGGAGATTTGGAGAGTGGACTCAGGAACCACACCTGTGGGTGCACAGGGGAATCAGGACTGGGAATCAGAAGAAGAGGTTAAGCTGTGCTATGGTCACAACAGAGACCTCAGCCAGGCTCACAGGTAGCCCTTCAGAGGCAAGAGTGTTGGCTCTTTAATCTCCCCGCACTGGCAAGTCACTGGATGCAAGATGCCTCTGAGGAGGGGTCATAACTTTGGGCAGGGCAGCCCTCTTTGGCCAAAGACAATTCTCGGGCAGGGATTCAGCTGTAAGGCACCAGGAGGCAGAGCTCCTGGCAGTGGGGGAATGATACCTGGGTCCTGGAGGAGGATCTGGACAGTGGACAAGAGCATCTACCTCCAGAGTAAACCCACTAGCGCCTTGCCCCAAAGTCCCACCCACGGAAAAGCCATGAGGCCTAATTTCCAGGCAGTCCCTCACAGTGATGAACCAGTGCGCCTGAAGGCCGAAAAAGAAGGTGAAAGGCAGGTAACATAATATGTATGTGTGTACGGGGTGGGGGGTGGGGAGCAGAACACCCCACACAGACCTTGATATTCCTTTCCACCCTTCCGCATTCGTCCCTCCTCCACTGAAAAGTGCTGGGCAAGAAACAAATGTGGTCTTGACGCCCCCTGGGTTATCAATCTTGAGATATAGTGTTCAATTTCAGAGGTCTTTGACCAAAGCCAAGTTACACATTCTGAGGAAAGCCGACTTTCCAGAAGGCAAAGACATTTGGAGGCATGAACTAGGGTGAACCTTATAAGTGAAGATTCAGGAGTCTTTGATTGCCCACAGTTAGCCAAGCATTGGCTGAGTTGCTTTCTTTCCTTAGAGCCAGGAAAAATGTTAAGTGCTGCTGGAGCTTCCGGGGCCAAGCTTGCAAAGCAAACCTGAAGGAGAGGAGCAGCTCATGCCGCAGATTTCCTCCTTGGTCTGCTTTCTGCCCACCCCCGGCCCCCCACCCAGAGTCAGACCACACAGGTGAGTAATAAAGCCACAGGCTGCAACTGGTAAGCTTGTCTTCGACGCCCTTGTTTTGGGGAAACGTTTCTAGAGCATTTCTCTTTCATCTCAGGTAGG